AGAGACAGACACAGAGACACAGACACAGAAACACAGACACAGAGAGAGACACACACAGAGACACACACAGAGAGACACACACAGAGAGACACACACAGAGAGACACACACAGAGAGACACACACACAGAGACACACACAGAGAGACACACACACAGAGACACACACACAGAGACACACACACAGAGACACACACAGAGACACACACCGACACACCGACACACAGACACACACAGACACACACAGACACACACAGACACAGACACACAGACACACACAGACACACACAGACACACACAGACACACACACAGACACACACACAGACACACACACAGACACAGACACAGACACAGACACAGACACAGACACAGACACAGACACAGACACACACACAGACACACACAGACACACACACAGACACACACACAGACACACACAGACACACACACACACAGACACACACAGACACACACAGACACACACACAGACACACAGACACACACAGACACACACAGACACACACACAGACACACAGACACACGGACACACGGACACACAGACACACAGACACACAGACACACAGACACACAGACACACAGACACAGACACACAGACACAGACACACAGACACAGAGACACAGAGACACAGACACACAGACACAGACACACAGACACACAGACACACAGACACAGACACACAGACAGGCACACAGACAGACACACACACAGACACACAGACAGACAGACACAAACAGACACAGAGACAGACAGACACGGACAGACAGACACACACACAGACAGACACACACAAACAGACAGACACAGACAGACAGACACAGGCACAGACACAGACACAGACACGGACAGACACACAGACAGACACACAGACAGACAGACACAAACACAAACAGACACAGACAGACAGACACAGACAGACAGACACAGACACAGACACAGACACACAGACAGACACAGACACAGACACACACACACAGACACAGACACAGACACAGACACAGACACAGACACAGACACAGACACAGACACACACACACCCACACACACCCACCCACACCCACACCCACCCACACCCACACACACACACCCACACACACCCACCCAGACCCACACCCACCCACACCCACCCACACCCACCCACACCCACCCACACCCACCCACACCCACCCACCCACCCACGCACGCAAGCACGCACGCACGCACCCTCACACACACACAATACACACTGAGCACTGAGCACACTGAGGTCCTCCTTTCCTTTGATCAAGCGCATATATATATATATATATTACATTGTAAATCTATTGTACGTACTGTACGTACGTACGCATGTACTTATGCGTGCGTGTATGTGCGTGTGTATGTGTGTGTATGCGTGTATGCGTGTATGTATGTACGTATGTAAGTATGTATATACATATATATGCTACCCCCCCTTGAAATACTCAGGTTTTTGGACAGAACTGAGGTTTTTGGCCAGACTGGGGGTAACAAATGCCTTGAGACTCTGAAATGAACTGGACACTCAACTCCATGCAAATTCTAACCAAGCAGAAGTTAAGCTCAACGTTGATTAGGAGTTGCGAGTTGTGTGACCGTCACATTGGCGTGCGCGAAGTGCACTTAAAGTCACATTGGAGTACGCAAAGTGCACTTTGGCAGCTCCAGCTCAAAAAACACAACTGTTCAGTACAGGAGTAGTGCGCAAAGTATGTTTTGGCAGCTTCAACGCGCCTGTAGCAGCCCTATTATTTGGTGTTTATTATTTTTGTTTGGAAGCGAAACTCAGCAGCAAAACATCAACTCGGGGAAAAGGAACTCATTCCTAATTCATGTCCTTGCGCAGTTGCATTTACATGTTAACTCGAGTGTTGTGCGTAATTCCTGACATGCTAGTTCAGTCTAATTGAAACATATGTTGCAAAGCAACTATCCCGCGTGTGTGTGTGTTGCTTGTCTAAGTTGGTTCCATAATCGCCACTAACAACTATTGAAATTCAAGTAAGGGAAAAATACCCAGTTAAAAAAATATGTTGCGTTCAAACCAAATTCAAGTTTACTCGTTTGCAGTTCCTTGCGCATTTCAAAAATCAACTGGAGAAGATAGCTATTGTCATGGCCAAACAAATTTGGAATCAAACTCAATTTTGAAAGGGTTATTGTCCTTCGAACTCCATGTGGATTGAACCAAGCAAGATCTGAGCCAAGCCAATGACAGGAGCGTGTTTTCAATCATAGATCTTATTCTTTGCGTAAGTGCTGTAAAACGCAGTGTTTTTCAGCATTTGCTCAGATCGTGTTGCCCTGGACCGAACATCGAATATACAAGATTCCACAAACATATGTTTAGAATGTACTCAATCCTGGTCCCCCAAAAACTTGACAGCTTGTTCTAGACTCATCAAGGTTTCGCCCCCTGCATTGAAGATTGAAGATCTACCAGATTTTCTATTTGAGAATCTTCCATCCTAGCCAGCCCTCAAGTCCACACAAAAATGTAAAGGTGTCAGCAACATTTTTCCCCCTGGCCAATTGCAGGCAGTGCAAGTGCACATCCACATTTTGATTCTGACAATGTGCACTCCCGGTCTGCCTTTTGGATTCTTCAAATCCGCACTTACGGCAATCCAGGATCTGGATGGGAGATTCAAGACTCTCTGACAACTCTTTCTGAAATTCTCCAATTATGTACTTAGAGTAATCCAGGATGTGCTAGCACGTGCTAGCACATCCTGGATTGCACTAAGTACCGATGCTAGAATTTAAGTCTAAAAAGGAGTGCTTTTTTTAGAGCCTGATTTTAGAAGCTGGAACGTGTGTTTTGCATGCATGTTTACAGCCAAAATGTCAATTTCTGGCCAAAAACCTGAGTATTCCAGGGGGGGGTACCATATATATATATATATATATATGTGTGTGTGTGTGTGTATGTATGTATGTATATTAACCTAGAAACCACCATCTGGGCATATCTGGGCAAGTAGAACCCGATGATTGTAGCCTTCCAAATCTACATTCAAGAATGCACACGCCGATTTGGACCACGATGGCATGGCTGTACAACGAGCGGCTCCTCCAAGAGGATGGCATCTGCCCCTTCAACCAGGCTGCTGAAGCCTTCCGGCTCTTCCACCTGGGCGCCTGTCTCATCAAACTCGCCATAGCCATCATCAAAGTTCTCCAAGGATTGCAGCACCATGGCAATCCCTGGCTACGCCCAAAGAGGGCACTCCTGGATTCAATTAACCTTGGTCTAGTCCTAATTATAGTTTCGGCACGCATTTGATTGCGCAATTTGTGAGAACAAATTCGGGGCCTCTTTCCACGGCTATCAGGCGTTTAGCTGTGGAAACCTGTGCAGCTGTCACTTCTCAAGGAAACTTGACTGCTTGCGCAAAAGGAGTTTACTGTCATGAAAATTGTACGGAGCCTGAACTGGGCCAGTTTGTGATCATGAGTTGTTGACATCAGCTGCTTGGACCACACAGCTCATCAGCGTTCTTCCTTCTAAGCGCAGTCGCAAGCACATGAAAACCAACCATGCATAACATGCATGCCATGCATGGAATTCTTGTGACAATTGTGGCAGGCATAAATTGTGCCAATCGGGCCGTTCCTTTTCTGGGCCGGAGACCTGATCTCAACTGAGCATCCCCAGGCGATCCACAAGCAATTCTGACTTGTTGTTCATTTTCGCACATGCCCAAGCCAAGATGATGGGGCCGCGCCCCTGCACAGCCCCACACAGCCTGAACGTTCCAAGAGTAAGGCAAAAGTGGTGCGAGCTTCCATCCGTCATCAAACTTCGAGATGGGGATGGAAGCGGCCACCGCTCCTGGCCGCCAAGTGCTGCTCGATGGCGTGCCGTCTCGCTCTCTCCTCCTCCTGGCCGCTCGGGGTGCTAGGCCTCGACAGGAGAGCCGCGCGCTCTGCCTGCAGCTGCTCGCGCTGGCGGCGCTCGATGGCCAGCTCGGTGGCTGTGGCGGCCAGCTGCCGCTGGGTCAGCTGCAACGACGCCGTGAGCTGCTCCGTGACCCGGGTGAGGTTCACCAGCTCCTCCGTTGGCTGCTCGGGCTCGCAAAGCTCCAAACGCGGACCTTGGCTCACACTCGCAGAGTCCAAGGCTTCTTGCAAGCGCCTCTCCTTCTCCGTCAGCAAGTTCCTGAGCTGCGCCACTTGCGCCTCCATCTTCTTGCAGTCGATGTCCTTCAGGCTGACCTGGGCTGTGAGTTGCTGCACCTGGGCCCTCGCCTTCTTCAGCGCCTTGGAGGCTGAGCTCAGCTTCTTGGCCTGGGCCTCCATATGCAGCTCCATGGCCTCCTGCTGCTCCCTCAGCCGCTCGTAGACCCCCATCTCCGGATCAACGGGCTCCCGCGATCTCTCGCCGTTGGGCGCAAACTGGGAGAAGTCGTACATGGCATCCAGCTCCAGCTCTGAAGCCTTCTTCTGACCAGGATTCCCAGGCTCATCTGCAATGTGAAAGTGAATGGCCTTGGCCTTGCCACTTCGCTCCGCCTCATCATCCGTGGGATCCTCATCACTGCCGCCGCCCCGCAGCAGCCACATTCGGCCGCCAGGCTCGCAAGATCATCATCCACGCCGACCCCTGCCTACAAAGGTGAATAGAACTTGTTGTTTGAGGACCCTACTTACTGTGATATGCTGTGTTTTTCTTTGCGCCAAACCAGTCGTGACTCCCAGCTGACTCTGAATGACCATGAATGCTGCATGCGTCTTGCAAATGCCCAATTACCCAATTACCAATCTTCCTGTCTGTACTTGCTGGTTGTTGGTTTGTAGTACATGCTACACGATTTACAAGTCTCATTTCAGCATGTTTCAGCTCGTTGCATGTTGCACAAGTAAGGCTTTGCTGCTTTGTTCTCTTGAGGCTCTGGGGCAGGGCAAGAAGCCGGCAGGAAATCCGCAAACCACGCAAGGCTTGCCCACGTCTGCCTGAGTTCAAGTTTAGCACGACGTGTCCTTCTGCAGGCGTTGCCATCGAGCTGTGAGTGGATGCATTGACCTCACATTTGCCTAGCTCGAAACAAATACTTGCTTGTTGCATGATGTTGCATGCGCTGCCGGAAGCTTTTCGATGTTAGCTCGAAGTTCCACCACTTCGCCCCATGCTCAACATGCATCCAGGTGGCGCCAGCTGCTCGCAGCGATGGCCTGACTGTGCCACGGTGCGGCATGGCATGGGATGCCTTGCCCAAATTACCCTTCGCAACTTGAATTTATGCAAATCAAGCCAAGTAGCAGGACGAGCTGGACCGACAGGGACGTCCGTTCTTAGCTCACAATCGCTGCAGCAGTGAGATAACGAATTCAGGCTGATCACCAAACAGGGCCTGTATGGACCTGTCTATTCACCTGCACCCATCTGTGCGCCTGTGACGTCAGCATGGACTGTCCCTTTTCAGAACTCAGCCATTCCTCCGTGACAACGATACAAGAACTGTAAAGAATGACACATAATCATCACCAAAGGTTGGATCAAAATTACATCTCTCAAAATGTCGAGGCAGGGGCCCTCAGGCGCAAATCCATAATGCGGGCCTCCGCGTAATAAGCAGGAATGGAATGTCAATTAGTCCAATGGTCGGGTCTCGAAGAATTCCGTTCTATCCCGTGCTGTCATTTATCCTTTTGTCCTTTTCGCATTCGTTTTTGGCTTCAAGAGTTCTGGAAAGCCAACATGCCGTGCTTTGCTAGACAGGTTTTCTTACATCATGTGTCTGGCTTGGTGTATTGGAGTTGGGCTCGGGGGTTGTAGGGTGTTTTTTTTAGTTTGGTTGAATTCAGGGACAGTTCAGGCTGGCTGGGTGTAGGTTGGTTTAGGGCAGTGACCGGTGGATTTGGTCAACATCGGATTCGGAAACTAAAACGGCGGATTAGGAAACTACTGGGGCGCATTATTCGGAAAATATGATTCGGAAACTAAAAAGACGGCTTCGGAAACCAAAGCAGCGGATTTGGAAACTAAAGCGGCGGATTCGGAAACTATGCTTCGGACACTCGGACGTCGGATCCGGAAACTAAAGCAGCGGATTCGGAAACTGGGATTCGGAAACTAGGATTCGGAAACTAGAAAGAAGGATTCGGAAAGTAGGATTCGGAAGCTAGGATTCGGAAACTATGCTTCGGACAGTCGGCCGTCGGATTCGGAAACAGATGGCAGTCTGGATCTGCCAGTCCCGACTTTCCAGTCGAGACTTCGCTGAGTGGCACGTGGATCTGAGTCTGGAGCTGCCAGATCTGACTCTGAACTCGCCAATCCGAGCTGGAGCTGGCAGCTGCCAGGCTGGGGCTGCCAGTCCGGACCTTTTTTTGGAGCTGGCAGCTGCCAGTCCCGACCTCCAGTCTGAGCTACCAGACTGGCGGTCTGGAGCGGCCAGTCCCGACTTTCCAGTCTGGAGCCGGCAGCTGCCAGACTGGACCTGGCAACTGGCAGTCTGGAGTTGCCAGTGTGAACTTTTCAGACTGACAGCTGCAAGCCTCAGCCGTAAACGCCGGAGTCGGAAACTGTCGCGTCATATTCGGAAACTAGGGCGTCGACTTCGAAAACTAGGAAACCGGCAAGCTTCGGATTCCAAAAATAGAAGCGGGAAACTGGAGCGGCGGACTGGGGCACAACTTGGAAATGGGAACTCTCGCCAGCAACTTCTACATAGGCGAATATCTCTCCCCACCAATGGGCCCCAAGTCGGTTCCAAAAAACCGTTAAGCATGTAACACAGGTTCCATGCATGACAAGGCAGCAACTCAATCCAAACTAAATTGGAAAGTAGCTGTGGCGGACTGGAGCGCAACTTGGAAATGCACTTGAGTGAGCGGCGCGTGTTTACCACGTGCTAGGTATGTGTGCACTGCTGAAAGGCACTGGAGCGGGTGTGCTTACCATGTGCCAGGCATGTTTGCAGTGCTGAGCGAGTGCGCTTGAGGGGTGCTTACCATGTGCCAGGCATGTGGGCACTGCTGAGCGGGTGCGCTTGAGCGGGGCTACCATGTGCTCAGTGCTGCGCAGGGCTGAGAGGGTGCCCTTGAGCGGGGGTGCTTACCATGTGCGAGGCATGTGCGCGGTGTTGAGCGAGTGCACTTGAGCGGGTGCGCTTGCCACATGCCAGGCATGCGCGCTGGAGCAGGCGTGCCTCCCATGTGCCAGGCGCGTGTACACTGCGAGCGGCTGCACACGAGCGGGTGAGCTGGCATGTGTGCAGTGCTGAGTGGGTGTGCTGGAGCGAGCGCCATGTGCCAGAGCGAGTGCACTTGAGCGGGTGCGCTTCCCATGCGGGTGGTTATCATGCGCCAGGCATGTGTGCACAGCGCTCTGAACGGGTGCACTTGACCATGTGCAAGGCATGTGTGCTAGGCATGCGCTGAATCGGGCGCAAAATAGTTTCTGAATCGTGTGAGAATAGTTTCTGAATCGGGCGAAATAGTTTCTGAATCACGCGAGAATGTTTCTGAATCGGGCGGAATAGTTTCTGAATCGGGCGAAATAGTTTCTGAATCGGGCGAAAAAGTTTCTGAATCGGGCGAAATAGTTTCTGAATCGGGCGGAATAGTTTCTGAATCGGGCGGAATAGTTTCTGAATCGGGCGAAAAAGTTTCCGAATCGTAGTTTCTAAATCGCAGTTTCTGAATCGCAGGTAGTTTCTGAATCGGTCGACGTCCGGTGGATTTGGGTCACTCGGATTCTTGGTAGAACCTGATTAGTGAACTCCCTCTGATTAAGGTTTTCCCAGCCGACCAGCCAATACTACTTTAAAGGCGCCCACAAGGCTTGGTCAAAATCATCTCTTATTCTTTTCGGGCAGCCAAAAAACGGCCAGCCGGAAACAACCAATTATAATTGCAATCCGTTAAACCAAAACAAGGTTTGACAAGCTCGTAAAGGGTACCCCCCTTCAAGGTTAGACCCCCCCCCCAAAAAAAAAAACGCAAAACAAACAAAACCTCCTCTGATTCACTGATGCTGGAACCTCATTGGTAAACCACCCCCTCCCTCAAGGTCGACGAGGTTTGGGAAAGCAGGATTTTGGATGTTGTTTTTGTGGGCTCTCTCGGATTGTGCGGACCTGGCCAATCCTGTCCGGTCCTTTCCTGTGTGCACACACCTGTCTTGCAAGTAGGACTGCAACAGGACAGTGAAGGGAGGTTGTGTTTTCTGATGTGCCAGGGCTGGAGAGGGAGGTTGGGTTTGGAGTTAGTTTGGGCTTGTTTTGTAGGGTGGGTTTCGATCGGCTCAGGGTTGGAGGGTGGGCACAGGGAGGAGAGACACCCAAAAAACGCAACAGCCGCGCCCCCAAAACGCCAACAGCCAAAGCATAGAAAGTGGCTGTCCTCCTTCTATTTGCCCAGCCTCAGCACTGCAGGGCACCACCTCGCCTTAGCTAAAGCCGAGTGACGGCCGAGCAACAACTAATCACTCCAAGAAGTCTCCAACCTTTTGGTCCGGAGAATGCTCAAACGGTGTATTGGAGTCTGCACAAGCCACAGCTCTCGCAGGCGGCATCTTTTCCCACTCAAACTGCACTCTGGGCCAAGTCTATCCATGGAACATGTTCATTTCATTCTCCCCTCCAACAAAAAACAAATAAACCAAAAAGACATAAGGGGATTGATACTGGAGCGTCCAAGAGCAAAGCATCACACCTCTCCTGCTCAAAGAAAAGCTTTGATGATGCTACGTTGTCCTGTGGCAGGGGAGTTGTGCTTCACTGCAAAGCGGCAATGTAACGTGGCATCCATCTCTTACTGCCCACTGCCCGTCCCCAGGAGTCCTCTACATCTTGTAGTGCTTCAGGTTTGCCTGAAATTTGGCAGCTAGCTGCCCCAGCCCATAGCCAACGCCATCATCTTGCGTCGACTGGGTGTCCTTCCTGCACGGCTCCAGCGGCGTTTGCCGCATCATTTGCGAAACACGCAAGCCACGCTATGCCCATACCGGGCGACGCAGGGCCGTTCGCACTCAAATGGATGTGGAGTAGCCCAAACACACAAAGCATACATGCCGCATTCACATCACCATGTCAGGCCTGCAAATATCTAAACGTACATGTATGCCTCAAGCAAGGCTTCACGAAATCTGTCACAAAGAAATCTCTCTTGCCGGATCCTTTTATACATTCAGCTTCCAGCCTCGGATAGAAGTGCGCATAGTCGATGAGTTTCAGGGCCAAGTCGGAAGCCTTGCCTCGCTGCTCGGGATGCTCATCAGGCTTCGGGGAGTGCCAACAACCTGTTGCAGGGTCTTGTTGTTAATTCCATGTTAATTCCTAGCTACCAATCCCCAGGCCAACAATCTGCTGTTGAATAGTTTAGGATATTTTAGGATAGCCGGCCCGCTTCTACTGCGAATGGCAAGTGCAAACAACTCCAACTACAACAGACTCAAAGCCTGCTGAAGCGTAGAGCCAGCCGGAGAAAAAACCATAGCATGCCATTGCTTCCTACTTTCTGCTGGTGGCAGTCGCCACACCAATGCGTGGCGCAACAATACAAACAAGTCTTACAAACAAGTCTTCCCACAAAACCTCGAGACACCTCACTAACAGGAACCCCTCCCCCCGCACCGCAAGCTCCATAGAACAAGCCTGCGGACGTTGGTGTTTCGGAATGTCAGTGCGCCGCACGCAAGGACGAGTGAACATGAAACCAGATGGTTTTGCAAGTCAAAGAGCCCAAAGCTAGCATTGGTACTAGAATTTGTGCATCAGAACTACACTCCATGGGACACAAACAAGGCACGACTTCCCACTGCACATGAGAAGGTCTATACAAGGGTCCAAAAATGTCCAAAATCAAATGCGCCATCAGACTCGTCGATACGAAACTGTCAGTCTGTTGCAACCAAGGGCATCACATCATACGAATGGCAGCGTGGGCACCTCTGCTCGCACACTCGTAGGCCACAAGGGCGCTCAGTCCAATGCTATAGGTTGCAGCCTGCCAGGGCCATGGATCGCATGCCGACGCATGCCGAAGAAAATAAACTCTGGGCCGGTTCAAAACAAATTCCCTCGTACCACAGGCATGCGCAAAGAAATTTGCAAAACACACCCAGCGCCTCCCCAGTGGACTTCCACCACTGGGCCATGTCGGACAAGCGATGCACTAAGTTGGACAAATAGTTTTTGTTCGATACTGACTTGTGCGAGTCGAGGAACGCACTCAGTTTATCAGTGATAGAACGAGACATCATCAAGCCCTTCGCATTCTTCTCGGTTGTGTTGGTGCGGGCATCGAAGAGTCTGATTCCTTCCAATCGCACTCCTTTGCTCGCAGAAGTGGTTAAGGCGTCCGATGCGGCATGCTTTGCGCGCTTGTAGGAGCGAGCAGCCCAAGAGTCGTCTGCTGCAGCAAATCCGTCATATGTCGAGAAGCCGAGCTTCAAATCAGCTTGACATGGCTCCACAAAATTGGACATCATGTTCTCTTGGACCAAATACAAGCGCCAGGAATCCGCGCACACGCCGTAGAAGGCAGGAGCCCAGGGCTTTGCGCCAGCCACAAATGGGTAAAACACATGGTTCTGGAGAGCGCTGACGTTTTGCTTGGACCGGTTTTGGAGATCGCTGACATTTTGAAGCAGCCGCCGCAGGCACCACATCTCCATGTAGTTCTGCCACTCCAAGCTACTGGCAACGATCTTGCGCTTGTCCACCGCGCTTGTATTGGCGAAGGCAAGCGTTTCCTCCGAGCTCGCGGCACTGACATGGACAAGCAATCAAATCCACCCTGCCACCTAACTCCGAAAACAAGCGTACAGCCCCATGAAGTCGTCCCTGGATTCATCAACTGAAGAGGTCTTTACTCTAACCAAAAGTGTTTACTCCTTGAAGATTGGGACACCCAACTTCCAATCAGCCAGGGTAAGGCTTCGACCCGCGCCTTAGCCAGCCGCCCCGATCCCAGTACCAGGATGGTGCCTGCATGGCCGCCTGCTTGACCAAGACTTGAGGCTACAGGGCAGGTTGGAATGCCGGCATCCTGCGTGGAGCGAGTGGGGTCAGAGGTGAGCCAGTCCAAATCCAAACACGCTGCAAGAGAGGAGGCAAAACAAATGACGGCACTAAGGATGATTTTAGAACCCAGCTGAGTCATCCATACATTCCACCCTGGATTGAAACTTCAAATGCCCCGCCTTGGAGATGCAAGAGACGGCAAAATCTTCTTCTGTCTTCAGTTCTTCTGCAGGAATTCCCGAGCAGCTGCCACAGAACGCGCCCTGCAAAAGAAGCACGTCAAACGAATCAAGCAAACAGCTTGTTTGCATGGCAATTCAGTCCAATTCGATTCGAAGGGAAACACATCTGAGTGGAAAGCTCCCTTTTGGCATTTCCGATGTCCGCAAGTTCGCCTTCCACGAGAATAACGGCCAACTCAGCTTCTCGATCACACCCTGCTCGTCCATCTGGGCACGGATGCCTTCGCAGCCTCATTTCCGACAAAAGGGACCTGGCTGGAATTCCCCTGCCCGGGGAATCTTGAACTAAGCTGTCCCTTGCATCGCAGTACCCGCTCGAGGCACGTGATCTCTCCAGGCGAGGGGCAGCGTGCTAGTACTGCCAAAGCAAGCACTTGAAGTCGAATCCAACCATGGCGCTTGGCAAACAACATTATGTCTTCTGGGAGGCCCTCCAGCTGGGGCAAAAAAGCAACGCGAGGGTCCCACCAACGTGGCCTCAATGATCGCTTTTGCATCAACAGGTTGAGGTGCCTCACTTCAGCATGGCCTTACTCGGGGTATCGACACAAGGCGCGCTCTTGCCTCGCCAGGACCCAAGCAGAATCCACAAGACAAACAGCTGCAGCTGCTTGAGCAGCATTGAGCAGCTCTTCCCATCTTTTCCCCGCTCCATTCCCATCACTTGAGACTTACTACATTCCAGCCCGTCACAAAATTCACGCTGAAATCGAGAACATCGCAAACGCGACAGGCGCCCACTGGGCCATCGTTGGGCTTGAAGGCCATGCGACGCTTGTTTCTGCTGATGGCATACAGAATGCAAACCCTCCTGGCGCGGCAAAGCGACCAAATCCACCATCCGCATCCGACCGCCCATTCAATGGGACTAGATCCCATGTTCCGATGGCAAGTCCTTGTCACATCGGTCTCGAGGCCATCTTCAGGGCAACCCCAGCCGGAGCTCCAAACGTGAATTGGCCGGGCGACGAAGTTTGCCTCCTGCGGGGAATGTTCTTCTCTGGGCAGTGTAATGGGTTCGTGTGGGGGAACCCTGAGAGTGTGACACTGGTTTCCCGTCTTTTGCCTTGAAGCAACCTTCACCAAAACACACAGACACATACACATAGATAAACATGCACATGCCGGGTGCCAAACCATCATCCGCTCCTGGTTCATCATCTTTGCAAACGCGTCCAGCTTGAGGTCCACTTGGGAAGCGCTTGTCAGCAGGCCGTGGAGCACCCCGTCAGGAGGCCAGTCGCGAGTATCATTCCTGGGAGCATTTCACACCCCCGTCGCCTGAAAAAAATTAGCCAGCTCAGGCCATCTAAGAGACAATCCGCTGGCCGGCCTCCGAAAGGCTAACACGGCCGAAGCTCAAAGGGTAGAAGTGTGCGTAGTCGATGAGTTTGACCTGAAACGAGGAGGGGCATATGAACAAGGCCGGGGCAGCTTAAATCAAATGGGCATTCAATCTTTTTGCCTTGTACAAGGAAGCGGTGAAGTGGGTCCCAGTTTCTGGCGACTGACGATTATTACGCTCGGAGTTATCGATCTTGTGCTTGGGCCTTACTTTCCGTTGAACGCTGAAATTCCTGACGCTCAAACTTGATGTTGACAATGCTGTTAGCGGACCTTTCTCGGGCGCTCTTGACCCTGTGCTGCAACCACAACAACGAACCTAACACGACTACACGACGAATTTACGCGTTAGCAGGAACCGTGGTGGCGAACAATGGCGGATCGTACGCAAGCCAACGCTAGGACCTCTCACGTTTTCGCACATTCACAGCTGGTGTTTTGGGAAGTTCTCATTGTCTTGCACATCACTCTGAAAAGCACGAACCAAAGGGTCGCTGTGCTTGATCATTTTGAGATTCCACTGTGCCCGGGCCTGGGGACGTGGAAGGCGGCTATCCACCTCACACTCATAGGTCAAAAGGAGGCTCAGCGCGATGCTGTGCACAGCATAGTTGCCTTCTTCGCCCCACCAAGCCTGACTGGCAGAAGCGAGCCTGGGAAATACCAAAAATCATCCGCTGCAGTTTGGATGAACACTTATGCACGAAACGGGCAAAGAGTTTGTAACCTCATCAAGCAAAGGAGCTGCATATTGGATGAGCTGATCCCGCAACTGTATGAAAAACTCTTGGCTCAGACGATGCGAGGTCTCAAAGAACGCAGAGAAGGCTTGCGACGGCGATTCCCAAAAGCTGTCATGCTTGTCACTCTTTCTCACTTCGCCTGTTCCATCAGTCACCTTGTAACCAGCCAGTCGCACGCCCGAGCTTGATGAGGAAGACCAAGCGTCCGCGAAGGTCATCTTCCATTGCTTTGCGAATTTCTTTGTCCAGGCGGAGTCCTTTACTGCCAGCGGGTCGTAGGTCGAGTACCCCAGCTTCAAGTCCATTAGGCAGGCGTCTTTGTATCCTGCTAGGGCGCTCTCCTGCACCATATAAAGGGACACCTCCGTCCCAGTCTCAACTTTGCACACACCGTAAAAGGATGGAGCCCAGGGTGCCGCGCCGAAAACAAATCTCTGCAAAGGATGCGTCCGCATCTTCTCTGACCATGCATCTGTAAGATTGAAATCATGTTGGGCTGCCAGGCGGCGTAAGCACCACATCTCCATGTAAGCTTGCCTGTCAAAATCACATTGCACGACCGCTCGACACATACAACATTCATATCATGCTAACTTTGCTGAGCTGCCACTCTACGTCGCTGGCCACGTAGTGGCGCCAGCCATGGTCCCCCCTGTTAAGACGTAGAAACGCCTTTGTCTGCTTGCCCAAGCGTCCACCTGCCAGCGAAATGATCGTTCCGGGGTGGCCTCCTGCCTGTCCGGCCGCCCCCTCCACTTCACAATCTTGGATTTCTGCGCGCTGGTCTGGAGTCTCCTTGCTCGAGAAAGCCAAAGCGGAAGCTGAGAGTTAAACTCTACGCTGATGTGGAAGAATCATCCTCTAATTAAATGTATCCACGTCGACCCGGCCCCGAAACAATGCATTCCTGAATTTCTGAGCCTGGTTGGCCTGGCTGGGGTAATCATGCATGGTAATGACTCCTGATTGTGTCTGCTGCCAAGTTTCCGTTGAGATGCAGGACATGGTGAAATCTTCTGGGTCCTTCAGCTTGTTCACTGGGATGTCGGCGCAGGTGCCACAATGTGAGCCCTGCCAAGCCTACCGCGGGGGAGGGTTTCGCTGCATCCTGATTAGAACCAGGTCCCTCGGTTTCCTTGAAGAAAGGCACGCCCCAATGATTCCCCGTGCAAGCTGAAGATTCCTAGCCAGCTTGAACACTCACCTTGTCTTTTTCGGTCGAAAATGGTCGAAAAGCTCGGCGAGCCGCATGCTTTTCGCCAGCCTCATACTGGTAGAGTGGCCACTGGAGCTTCTGGAACCGGTCCCATAACTCCAGCTGCCGACGAATGCGTTCGCCGCGAATGGGAGCACTTATGCTCACCAAGAGCAGAAGAAGCATAGCTTGAAGTTAGTAAACAACGGATGACATGAGTCCTTCCTCAATCTGAGCCAACGGAAATACAAAGGGACTCAAAAGGAGGCAATCGGCGGCATGAGCGGCTCAAACTCAGGGAGCAACTGCGAACACCGCCGAGTCACTCCAGTCCAGCGGCATCATCTGACACCACAGCCGAAGCTCGCAAGAGCCCTTGGCTCAAGCACTGACATCGTGGCCCTCTAGGCACGGAAGAACTCCAATCCTATTTTGACTTGCCGACAAGCCCCTCGAAACATGCGGACCTTGCCCGCCTCTGGAAGACCGGGAGGTATCTGCGCGTCGCTGTCCGTCAGTCTGCATCCGCAGTCAGAAGGTGAGCCCTCTATGCGCTGGCGCCTGAGACCAGCTGCTTGAAGAAGCACTGACACCTCCGGGCGCAAACACGAGACTGCTTTCCCTGGCAGCGGTCTCATTGCAAAAGAGGAGTTGCCCAATCCAGAAGTAGCATGAACTTGCTTGTCTTGTGAACTTGCTTGTCACGTGGGCATGCCATAACCTTGCGTGATGCGAGCTGCAACTGCCTGCAAAACAAAATTGACACAGCGAGTCAGAAGCTGCTTCAAGGCGATCCTTCATTTGACTTTCTATTCTGGTCACCTTGGGCGTTGTGGTGGGACTTCTCTGCCTGTAGCTCACCGGCTGTGAGCTCTTCTTGGTCGACTGGAACCTGGCGTCTTGGTCGAGCAAAAAAGGCCTGCGAAGAAAGTAAAACTAGTTATCATTCACCAAATCCTGACGGCCTGCCAAACAACAGTGTGGCTGCTGATTGCTCATATATCCTACTGCAACCTGACATACCCTCTAGATATGTTAGGTTTCTTCTCTGGGCCCAGCTTTCCATAGGTTTGGTTCGATATCCCAACTGCTCTGGGCGAGTCCCTCGCGCGAGGCGATCAAAACCTGCCAGCCCAAAGTGGCGCATGCCTGGAACACCCGACCGGCATGGCGCACGGTCGCCAGGCGCATGGCCCTTCATGATCCGCGATCAAGGGCTCAGGTTTAATGGCAAGGGCTTTCCCGGTGCCGGAGATACCTTGATCCCTGGGACGAGATGAAAAAAGGGGCTATCTCACATCTCTTCAGCATGCTTTTTTTTGGGGGGTTCTGTTGTTTTCAGCAGACACTTCTTGATAGGCATCCTATTCTTGTCGTGCTGGCGACCTCCTCCATCTGAACTATTGATCTTCTCAAAGAATTCTGGGCGGAGCCGGCGCGCCGCACGAAAAGCCTTCCGAGCCACATCCGTGCAGGTCAGGCTATGCCCCAACACCTTTTGGCCAAAGACATGGGCACCTTCGACTCTTCGACGCCTCGGCTTGGCAGCATCTCCGTGCCGCTTTCTCGCTTTCTGGTTTGGCTGCAGTGGCTCCATGCGAGCGCGTGGCACACGGTTCCAGCGCGCACTCTTGGTTTGGACGCATCTTAAAGGCAGCAGCCTGAAAGGTGGAGCAACAAGACCAGTGTGTAAGGTGCTTGAAGAACCATGATTCGCCCAAATAGATACTGACTCATCCGTGCGCATTGCCAGCTGTAGGCAACTTGGCCACGGTTGGAACGAGAGTCTTGCTGCTGCATGCTGCAGCCAGGCGAGTCGAGAGATCACAATTTGTCAGGGTGCAACAGGGTCCAAGCTATGTCTTGATCCATCATCACAACCACAACGAGTTGGGGAGTAGCAGGTTGTGTGACCTTCGACGAATTATGAGGCCAACGGCCTTCCGGAAAAGCCGCCTAGCTTCAGCTGCCCGGTCTTACGGTAGAAGCCCTGCAAAGGCAAAGGCAAGCTTCAAGAATCTTCAACGCTCATTTGGCCATGGGTCAAAATCCAAATCGTACCCCCAGTGAACATCTCAATCTCCACTAAAATAGGTTCTAAAATGGGTGGGGCACCTACCCCAAAATGGCACCATTGGTTTTGACAACCACGGTCATTTCACTATCAGCGCAAGCAACGTGTCACTTGCAACGTATCGACCTGGCCTTTGCGCTCAACTTGAAGAGCCGCTCCACGCTATGCTCCACCTGGTCCTTGACCATGTAGAGGAGCGCGCTTTGCCTCACGACACTGCTCTGTTTTGCTCACCTGGCTGTGGGTCAAAAATAGGTACCCCAAATGGAACCCTAGTAAGTGTACACATGGACCAAAACCTGCAATATCCTGCGGCCCCTCGGTGGTTTAATTCTGACCCATGCCCACCTCCCTCTCCCAGCTCGAGTCAAGGTGCAAAGTGCTCTTCAAGAGTGCAGAGCCAACACCGCGGTAGAGCTCAATCAGCCTGCCGGCTTCAAAGCTCAAACTCGCCTAGACCGGACGCCGGGCGGATCTACGCCCGCATGCGAGCCGCAAGCCTCTGGAGAATGGTCAGCTGTTCCGCATCTTTGTCCTGGGAATTGCAAATTTAAAAAAAAGCGTTGGCCCAATTTGTTGGCCGTCTGACTCGGGCAACACGGCGTTCCCACGAATCCCCTCCAGCTGACTCGGGCACACGTCCTCCCGAAAGGACATGACGCGGATCTGCTCCAGGGAGCCTGGACTCGCGGACTCGGACATCTCCGAGTGGGCCGTTTTGGGGGGGAACTCGTTGGAATTCCGGGGATCGGTGAGCTCGCTTGGTGAACTCAAAACCAGGTGAGCTCATCTTGTTTCCTTAAAAATAAGCAGAATGAGAAAGACTGTGTTCTTGGCCTTCCGGGACAGAACCTGTGAGCAGAAAAAAACATGAAAGCAATGTGCTTACCAGCCTGCACGCTCGATCTTGGC